ATTTTATGGCCTCAGGTTTTACATTTTTAGACAGCTGGCAGAGATACGTTGACCTATGAGAAGTATTTCAGTTCATCACCGTTCATTAGGTGATGAACTGGGCTAGGAGAAAAAGAACTTACTCTTGGGAAAATGTCTCAAAGAGCTTAAAAATTTGATAACATCTCTCTTTTTTTATTCTGAGAATAACATGGCTGAAGCAAATTACAAGAAGCTGGAAAAAGAAAATTTGCATCCCAAGGTGACATGGGGTTAGAATTAAGAGAGGGCATATGAAGAATGAAAAGGTAACGTGTACATGGATGTCTAGATATAAATTAGGACCATATGCACCTGAGATTATGAGTGAATAAATTTTATAATCAGGAATATCTTTTTGGTTACTTAAAATCTTCTATGTATCTATTTATTATCTTTGTATGCATAAGCGTTAACACAAAAATGTGAAGACAACTTGAAACGCCAGGAAACGTATTTCTGTAATAACACGATTGGCTGACACAATAAAGTATTTCAAAAATGTCATTTTCTTTTCTTTGTCTGAGTCAAAGCCAGACATTCAATGAGGTCAGGGCAAGAGAAACGTGTCATGTCAGGCTGGCATGATTTATGACAGGACACCACCCAGTTATTAATCCGATGCACTCAAATATCAAAACATTGTCACAGCACTCAACCTACCCTTAAGTTCTGCACGAGCGCTTCAACAAAGTTCAACGAGAGCCCATCTGCGACTTTATTTGACGGTCAGAACGACTGATGGTCAAAGGGACGGATGCTTGGAGAGGCTGGTCACTCTGAAGGTAATATTGTAGTTTTTGTAAACAATAAACAACAGACCATTTCATGTTACAGGGCGGCTGTGCCTCAGTGGGAGAGGCGATGAAAAGCTGGAGTTTAATAAGCACTCTAGGTCAGTCACGTTTTTGGTTGACCTATCTCTGTGTTTGTTTTGACTTTTAGCTTGTCAGAAACACATACCAGTACATATATTCCCAGAATGAGAGGCAGGTCATATCACCTTCAAACAGTGTAGTGCTACAGGTCTGTCAACTACGTAAAAATAGATAAAACATTAAAGGGTGTCCAAGGAGTCAACTGGCACCTCTCCAGCTACCAGACCAATTTCCATACTTTGGTCTGTACCAGGACCTGGTCCAGCAGTCCTCTGGTTCCAACCTAAGACCCTACAGACTGAGATACTTGGCTTGATGACATGATGTTATTTTAAATGATAGTGGCATCAATGATGTCACCAAACGCTCCACGAGCGCATCGACTGATGTAGCAAACTGCCAATAATTAACATGGGCCAAGAAAACAAGCTCGTAAAATAGAGTGTAAGCTACAGTTTACCAAATATCTGTATTTTGACCAACCATTTAAAGATTTACTGTACTCTTACTGCCCTAATGTTCCAACAAAAACAGTCCTGCTGCATCAACAAGGTTCCCCAAGATCCAAATCCAGTTTAAGAATTAAATCCAAAACACATTACATCCATACAGGTCCTCACATTGCTTCAAATTTGCTGCTGCTATCTTGATATTTCAATGTATTGCAGGAATATATCATAACATTAATTCCTTTTCTCCACTTACGGGACATCAACATGGCAACCACACTCAGACAGATGGACACCTCATTTGTCCAATTTACTATCATTCATTTATCATTCCTAGCCTATAATAGCCAATGAGAGCCTGACTTGAAAGGAGGCATCTGCCCCGATTCTGATGTCACTGCACGCAGACAAAACTGTGTTGATGAAGCACTGCTTTATTTCAGCAGTTGAAAGCATTTTGTAATGATTTTTTTAAGAACTTAACACATTCTGAAACTCCAGAATATTAACTTTCAAAATAGACCTGTACTTTGAATGGTCCCAGATTCAGTTTCCTCATGATATTAGATAGGAATTCATTGGCAGATTGTACAGGACTCAAAAGGGGAAACCTAAGTAGTTTAAGTAAGATGGAGGCAAAGAAGAGATTGATTAGGACAAAGCATCTTTTCATCTTTTTTACTACCCAACGAGAAGGATCTGCGTGTCTGTCTGCTTGTGTTCACATGTGTGTGGGTGTGGATGATTCATTGTCTATATTTGCTGTGTTGGTTGCAGTGCAGTGCAAGTGCATAGACTTCATGCGCTACATGATTAAGAATGACGTAAATCAGATATGCATCTTAACTTTCAGCTGTCCAAAGCGAGTCTGAAATGATTTCATATTTGAGTCAGACTCTTGGTATGAACAGGTTTTCAATTCAACTACTTAACATTATTAACACGATTTTTTTTATTTCCAACTCTGTTCTCATGCCAATTAAAATGTACATAAAACAATTACCGGGAATAATATGAACATTAAAATGACCCAACAGTACTTAAAGTCTTCAAACTTCACTTTATCTACATTTTGAAACATTTAACGAGCACTTGTTCTCTTGCACTTGTATTGTGACTTTTACTTATTTTTATACTGCAGTAGAAGCTAGTTTTATTTAAGTAAGGATCTGAGTTCTTTTGTTTTATCCAGAGGATGCCATACACCTCCGATGCATAGAAAAATATTGTCATGTCATTTTGAAAAACAGGTTGTACTTTCCTAAGAGTATTACGCAAAACAAATTTGTTGTGAACTGAACGTAAGGCTCTTTAAATGGCGCCTTAGCATTGCATGTCATGATTGTGGCTATTATCTCTTGAAATAAATGTGTCAGCAGTACTGAAACAATTACAATGCATTGAGTACATAAGAGAAGACTCAAGTTTGCTTTGGTTGTGTAATGCTACGGTGTGGTTATTTTGAGGCAAAGAAAAATTATGTGGTTATGTTAAGAGAAAACTGGCTCTTTGGGTTGAAATAAAGTTAATACTTGTATGACAGCTATTTATGCAAGTTGGAATACATTATGTAAAACATTAGTGTATTCAACATTTGTCATGCTCACATAGAGATCCTCCATTACTTGTAGGGTTCAGACCTTTTAGGCTTTTAGAACTCATTCCAGACCCATAAAAATGTGATTGATGTGAAATATAACATAGCATCATCAGCATGTAGTGTGACTTATTACAGGTGTGATGGATGTGAAATATAACACAGTATCATCAGCATGTAGTGTGACTTATTACAGGTGTGATGGATGTGAACTATAACACAGTATCATCAGCGTGTAGTGTGATTTACTACGTGTTATGGATATGAAATATAACACAGTATCATCAGCGTGTAGTGTGATTTACTACGTGTTATGGATATGAAATATAACACAGTATCGTCAGCATGTAATGTTACTTAATATGATGGATACAGCATATAGCACAGTATCATCTGCATATCGTTGGACTCATTACATATCAGGCAGCAAAAAACTGTTTCTTTAAAAAACACTTTTTGGGGGTACAGATGGCCTAGCGGTTAGGTTGCGCCCCATGTATGGAGGCTTTAGTCCATCAAGCTGCCTGCCCGGGTTCAAGTCCAACCTTTGGCTTACCGAGTGTCTTCCCCACTCTCTGTCCACAATTTCCTACTCTGTTTAATGTCCTGCCAAATAAAGGCTAAAAACTCCAAAAATACATCTTAAAAAAACACTCCTTTTTTGCTCTAGTTTTATAACACTTGGCTCCCTGGGGCTGCTGTAGCATAGCTGCTAACTTTCCCTTTTTTTCCTTTTAGTAAGTCATATCAAGTCTTTTAAAGTTTAGACCTCTGTCCACCCCAGCTGTTCTTCCATTTAAACAAATGTCTTCCTAGCTGTGTTACTACCTCTTCATTCTGAATGTGAACATTGCTGCCCTTAATGGGTCATAAAAAAGTCTAATGAATTTTGGTTTCCTACAGTACTCAAACACTAAACTCCAGGGTGAAAGTCCTCTCTTACCCATTAACCACAACTAACATGAGGTTATGGCGTCCGGGGTTGAAAGCTAACCCAAGGTTCGCCCTCGTTTTGGAACAAGGTTTACCCGCTCTTCTAACTTTGATTATATTTTCTCTTCTTCGATTCGGTTTGAATCGCCTCCTGTCTCTGAATTTTATCTACTCCTAAACTCGCCTGCACGCTGTCATTGGCTGGGGGAAACAATGCTGAAATGATGCTGACGAGAATGATTAAGGATGAAGTTTATTTAATCATCATTATTTAATTATAGGTTATTAACATATCAGTAAAGGAGTACTCATTCATAAATCTCCATCAGCAAAGGGACACTTTTTCCCATCCACATGACGGCCATAGCACTTTCATGCAATAAAGAAATTTCCCACATTTCGTTATTACACCTTTGCCAAACATTCTGATCCAGCCCAACCCTTCCACCTCATGACACTCCGTCTGAGAACAGCAATGACTGAACAAAGAAGGACCAGAAAGACCAGATCAACTACGGTAAAAGAAGAAAATGAGCATAAACCAGACGGGGGGAGGAGCTAGATGGTAAACACAGCCACTCTTTGTTTGTGGTGATGAGTCACCGTCGAGGAGTATTTAAACTCCTGCATATGTGAAGATGAAGCACACTCTCAACATGACTACACAAACAGGTAAGAGTGCCTTGATTTTACTCCTGCAAGAAAACACGAGAAATTTTGCAAATGGATTTCATATTTGATGTGGACGTGTTTAGAAAATATTTTACTAGTTATGTGAATTAGTAGTTTTTTTTAACTTTTTGTCATATTGTTCAACCTTGCACACGATTAGCCTTTTTTGAATTACTTTTTCAAAACATGTAGCAGCAAACATCATTGGCTTTTTTTTTTTTTTGCATCCCAGGGGCTAGTCTTTATGAAAACTGTTGTTTAAAAAATGTCAAAAGCAGGACACAGAATTAAAGGAATAATTTGTGCAACACAGCTCACTTTTACCACATCATTGAGTGAATTCAAATTCATAGCCCTCTGTGATTGCAACCTGTTTGGATTTCTACTTTTTCTACTGTTTTCACTCAGGTGTGCATGCTAAAGTGTGATCTTGTGTTCCCCCCCCAGCTTTAAACATGGCCTCTGTGCCACTTGAGATACAACTCAGGTGCTGCATTTGTCTGGACACCTTCACCGACCCCGTCTCCATCCCGTGTGGACACAACTTCTGCTTGGACTGCATCGAGGGCTTCTGGGACACCAAGAACCAGTCGCAGTGTCCGCTGTGCAAAGAGACATTCAGGACACGTCCAACGCTCCGGATCAACCGAGGATTTGCGGACATCGTTGAAATATTCAACAGGTTTGTTTTGCCAGCGTTTTCAGCTGATCAATATGTTCATGTTATTTCATAACATGAAATAACCATGATTATTCCAAAACAAAAAGGTCCCAGATACAAGACCTAATCCAAGAGGAGGACGAAGGGAATCATTACTCGCACCAGGTTATACACGCAGAAGACGTTCCCTGTGATATCTGCCCCGGGAATAAGTCGACATCAGTCAAGTCGTGCCTCGTGTGTCAGACGTCATACTGTGACCTTCACCTCGCGCCCCACCTGAGGGATGCAGCGCTGCAGAGACACCGGCTGACAGACCCGGCCACTTTCTTCACCAGCCACCTCTGCAGGAAGCACAACAAGCCGCTGACCATGTTCTGCAGGAAGGACCAGGCGCCCTTGTGTGAGGACTGCACAGAGAGGGATCACAAACAACACAAGGTGGTCGTCATAGAGAAAATGAGCAAGAAGTTTAAGGTGAGGAATTTTGTTTTTATTAAACTCATCCTCAAATGAATTAGTTTGAAATTAAATCTGGCCTTTCTGCTTGCAAATATGTCTCTGTATTTTTTTCCCAAAGTGATTTTTTAACGGTTTTTTTGCAGACTCGTTTGAGGGGAACCAAAACTGAAATCCAGCAGATGATCCATGCACGACTGACGAAAATGGAGCAGATGAAAAATTCAGTGGATCTAAGCAAAGTAAGTTAGCTCTCTCCCAGAAATGCATGACGTTTAAAAAAAATTGTCATAGGGACTGTTTGTATTTATACATTCTGTTTAAAATCGACAGAAAATCAAAGAGAGGGAAGTACTGCGCAGTGCCAAGGTTTGCTCCCTGTTGATCGCCACCGTGGAGAGACACCAGGCCGAGCTGGAGGAGGAGTTGGCAGAGAGGCAGCAGGAGGCAGAGAGGAGAGTTGAGCATCTGCTGGGTGAGCTGGAGCAGGAAATCAAAGATCTGCAGAACAGGAGCAACGAGCTGCAGCACCTGGAGCTCACGCAGAACCCTGTGCACCTCCTGCAGGTACATATACCCGAAAAAAAACACATTTCATTTTCAAGTGCTGTGGCGTCATTTCAAGAGCTGTACTCATGACAATCCCTTGCGTCCGTCCTATTTTAGAGTTTCCCGTCTCTGAGCAGACTCCCGTCTACCAAAGAGTGGTCGGAGGTCACGGTGCACTCAGATAACTTCATGGGGACGGTGACCAAAGCCGTCTACAAGATTGTGGATCTCTGGCAACAACTCGCCGACAGACTTTCTGCAGAAGGTCAGTAATCTTTTTGGCAGAATTCTTTCACAGATTCAAGCAAAGCAAGGCATGAAAATAACCCTTTATTCTCCTTTTTATTTGTTTACAGAGGCAGAACAGATGCATCAATATGCAGGTAAGCTTCCAATCCCACAACGATGTGTATATCCTAATGACATATTTGAACCCTGACTTGTAGCTCTTTGACGGCTCCACTCACTGATGTCTCTCTTTGTTTTCTGCAGTTAACGTCACTCTGGATCCTAACACTGCTTCGGGTTGGCTGGTCGTGTCTCCAGACAGAAAGAAGGTATTGTCACGTGTCATGATCTCAATGTGTGAAGAACAAGAGTGTTAAAATGAAACCAATAATTCTTCAGATATCTTTAGTGGGGTCGCACATTTCAGACTGTGAAAGAAGTCGGTGTTATCTTCTGCTCAGACGCAGCAGGCTGAGCTAAAATTGTTTGTTCTGATACATTCCCGACTGTGTTCGATTTCACTGCAATGAGGGTGGAAAAGTGCTCACTTTCATTTTGGTTTAGGTTTGGTTGTGAAAAGCATATCAGTGTGAGGGGGTAAAAGGCCAAAAAAATGCTTGGCTGGCTTTTACGACACTGACAGTTACATTGATTTGATCCTTTAGGTGCGCAGTCAAATGAAGAAGGATCCCGTCACGGACAATCCTCAGAGATTTGACGCCTGCGTCTGCTTGTTGGGTAAACAAAGCTTCAAATCTGGAAGGCGCTACTGGGAAGTTCAGGTACGAGACCAAAAACAAGAAAAAATTCCTTGAATTTCACTAATCAGAGTTCAGTGTGTCCTGTCTGTCAAAAAAAGGTTTCTTTTGGTCTCTCACTTTGTTGTTGGCCGTCTGACTCATCGTTTTCAACGTTGTGTTTCAGGTTGGAGATAAGACCGACTGGGATCTCGGCGTGGCAAGGGAGTCCATCAACAGGAAGGGGGCCATCTCAGTGAGTCCCAACAGCGGTTACTGGGCGATTTGTCGGAGGAGAGGCGGCAGTCTCAGCGCGTGCGCCGGCCCCACCGTCAACCTCCAGCTTCAGGAAATCCCCAAGAAAGTGGGCGTGTTCATGGATTACGACGCAGGGTCTGTGTCCTTCTACGACGCCGATTCAAAGACTCACATCTACACTTACAGCGGATGTTCCTTCAACGAGCCCCTCTATCCCTACTTTAACCCCTGTGTTCAAGACAATGGAAAGAACACAGCCCCCTTGATTATCTGTCCTCTCGAGGAGCAGTACATAACCGTTGAGTCAGATGTTTGATTTGAAATAAAATAGGATTATGTCAGGGAAGGTAGAGGGCATTTTCAACCTATTTTGGTTTGGACACATTTATTTTACTGTATTAGTATGTAACCATCACTGGCCTGCAACAGGCTGAAACCACCGGATATTTCTGTTTTTATGATGCAGCATTCATTTTCTCTTCAAACATTTGTAAATGCTTGTTTTATGATAGCAGATCTCGAATGTATAGCAAACGCTTTATATGTGATGAAAGGAACTGTGAAATCTAGAAACACGTATTCTTTGAGAAGTTTAAGTGTGAACCTGAAAAAAACAGTCCTTTGAAAAATAAAAATAACTGTAAAATTATTAAATTTTTGCCGCCTCATTTTGTATTCCTGTCCATCTAGATGATGTCATTTCTTCTTTTCTGACCTTAAAACTAATTGAAACTGCAAAGTCAGCTTATTAAACCTTAAGTAGCAACAAGTTAAGGAATATTATTATCTTCATCTCTATTTAGAGATCTACGTAAAAAACTGTCAAATCTGTTCAGTGAGGTTTTGATTTTCATTCCATTTTCGTTTGTAATGAAATGTGTTTGCATTTGGAGCAGTATTGGCCAATCACGTATCAGCAGGCTGTGATGTATGCAGGAACAGATCATATAAAGAGCGAAAGCAGGCTACACACATTCAGTGGTAATCACACTCCAGATCCCATCATCAGTAAAAGTGCAGCTAACAATCAGATATACTATATTGATGGGGTTGAGCCAGATACGTAGCCTTGTGGTTACTCAGCTCTTGGGATGGGTGGCGCACACACACAAAGAAATCAGCTTGACGCTTTGTCTGGAAGTCAATTAGTCACTCAGCATCAACATTTCTCGAGTTCTTCACTTGCAGAAAAGAGTGCTGCACCTTCCATTCAACAAACGAGCATGTTAAAAGTTGTTTTCTTCTCCTCTTGAAGACAGACCTGACAAAGCTTGCATCCTTACTTTCCACACTTTCTACAAGCAACATGAGGTTGTTATTTCAGCTAACTTAAGAAAATCTGTTTGCTTTGGGCCTCATACGACTGCAGTATGCCAGAGTGAAGCCTGTTCTGAACATGAACTACTGATGGGAATCTAATGAACCAAACGTGACAATACATTGTTGAATAATTGCTTCAAGTTTGGTCAGTGTTGACACAGGGAGATTTACAAGCTGACCATAATTCTCTCTAATTGGTCGGAATTTGTTGCTGGAAAACTTCTGCCTTGCTGTTTCTGCTCCAAAGACACTTTCCAGTTTCAAAATGCACAGGCAACTACACAGATTGATGTTTGCTCTTGTCATCTGTTTTATATTGTTTTCCCTGAGGGAGTAGATTTCAGTGTTTTTAGTGTGTTGTTGAAGGTTGTGGGCTTATATAGCCATCTGACCAAATCTATGAATGACTGCACCTCCTCACGAGTCCACGTCTGTAGACGATTCATCACACTGCCGTTGGGGTAGTGAAGGAATAACAATCCTACCCATAATGCACTGTGCGGCTGGCTACGGTAGTTGGCAGTTAGGTAGGATCGAGGTTAATTCATGATCTTACTAAAAATAAACCGCAGCAGAGTGAAAAGCGGACAAAGACCCCCCCTTTTCAAGTGGTCTCGGTACGATTCTTTGGGTTTCACAGCTTTCACATGGACGTGAGTTGGCCTTCACCGAACCGGGTGAAAAAATGCCCAGTAAAGACATAATTGGAAAAAGAAGTCTTGGCTCGGAGATGTCTAGCGCGGTTAGCTACACCAGAATTACCGAAATTTCCCAGAGGCCCTATGTTGTTTTCCGACAATGACAGACAATGATGGCCTTGGTTTCCAATTGTGTAAATGCTAATGAATGAATGAGGCAGCTATTTGAGCCAACAACATAACTTGTTTGTGTTTGGTGGAGTCCACAGCCTCATGAGTCATCACATTGTTTTGCGACTGTCTTTTCACCGCACTCTGTTTTCTTAAATATGTGGACCAACTGTTTGTGTTCAACACAAAAGGCATAAATCCATTCCGAATTAGTGGCTCAGAACGTGCATTCATATGGCACATCCAGGCCATGTGAGTTAGATTCTCCTGCGCCGGATTTGTTTGTCTTAGGGCACGGTCACACTGGCCATCCGTACCGTGCCCAAGCATGCTTCCACGCTAAAGTCCAGTTAGTTTGACCAGTGTGACCGCTCCGTATCGTTCTCAGGCACAGTACACTTCCTTGGCTTTGGCACACTTCGGAGAGGTGTGCTTCGGCACGGTACACTTCATGTACGAGCACAAGCACGCGGGTACACAACGCTGACAGCCTTCATTCAGGAGAAATCCAGAGTTTCATGTCTGTATCTGACTAAAATGACTCAATATAAGACACAAATTAGCTGTCATGTTCTCTGTGTTGTTCTCCGATGTGCGGGCGGGGGTTGGGGGGGGGGTATCGTAAGAGTAGCCAAGCCTCCTCCATCCTAAACTAAATATTGGCTCCCGACCTTGACCCCATAAAGCTCACGTTAAAATCTGAAACAAATATTGTGATGAATAAAAAGGCAGGTACAACAATGCACAACAAGATATAAAAGTCACTGCTGTTTGTGAACTACCGTGACCTACATCACAAAATACACCACACCTCTGTGGTTTTTCTGTAAAACATTTAAGCAATGAGCACCTGGCGTCAATGCCAGTAACACAAACAAAAGAGAATAGTTGGACCCAGATTTTCTCTGGATTTTCTTCAGTAACCAAAACAAGCCTCTTTTTTTTCTGTCTACTGACAAACACTGACAAACATTTCCCTCTCCTCTCACAAAATTTTAAAATCATTAGTGGATATAAAGTTTTATAAGGCTTCAGTAGTTATAGTCAGGTCTGAGTTGACCTCATTAAAACTTTCCATTGATTGATTTGCAAGTCCGTGTCACAAAGTACAAACAATTATTTTCATATTAAGATTTTTTTTGTCCAAACCTCAAAAGTCTTTTGAAAAAGTCTGGGATTTTTGGTAGAGACTTAATTATCAGTAAAAAAAAAAAAACATGAGTTGAACCATCATTTGAAGCTAAAATGGCCATATCGAATCTATCTCTTAGCTATAAAAGTTAGACGTTTTCCTCCCTTAAAAATAAATATAGCACTTCTTCGCGTTTTAGCCTTCCAGTTCTGCTGTCTTTTGTGTCATGTGAGATAAAAAAAAATAAAAAGATGAGGAGGAGGGAGGGGAAACAGGTACAGTAGGGGGTTGAGGAGCTGTGAGAACAGAAGGGCTGAGATGCTCGTGAAGTGATTAAACGTCTGCTAGAACGCAGGGGTCTGAAACAGAGAGATAGTAATAGGGACAGAGAGAGCGAGATTGGGAAAAGAGAGGGAAAGGAACAGAACTAAAGCTGAAGGTAACAGAGAACCCAGGCTCTTGGGATGCTTCAACTTTACTGCAGACATTTTTATTTTTACTGTAAAGCCAACACTTAAAGTCAGAGGTAAGTGTTATATTTGTTTATTTGTATTTAAAATATAGTAAAGGTTTTTGTTCATTTTAGTGTGGACTGCTTTGTTAAAGCTATGTTATCCAATTTAACCAACTCTGCATGAAATGTAAGATTTTCACTTAATTTTGACAAATTGTATTTTATTGCAAAACATTTTTAAAATATTGCATGAATACTTAGATGTATGATCACAATTTGTGTTCACCAGTTGTCCACTCATACTGTATAATGCTTGAGCCTATATTGTCATATCTGTATTTATAGTGGGTTTATTTATAGTGTCTGTGTGTAAAGGAATGCAAGTGCAGTGAAAATGCTTCAATTGGAAAGGTGCAGGGGGAGAAAGTGTGGGAGTGTTTATCCACAGATGGCCTCTCCATGGAGGGATTGTGATAGTCTATTGCCCCCTCCCCCTCTCGAGTCCAGCTGGCATTACTCATGCGGGATTCTTCCTGGCCAAACCGTTACCTCATCAATTTTTCTCTTCCTAATGTCCTCCTGCCAGATAATCATTTTCCTCTTAATATTCCCAGCCCCTTTGTCCCTCATCTCACTTTTTATTAGATGCTTGTTTTTCTGTTTTTCTTGAACTTAGAGTAGCTGACCCGCAATATTTTTGGCAGGAGATGATTTGGTCAATCCATTTTGGCACTTAGCATTACAAGTCTGTGAAATAAATATATTATTTTTGTGGCGTAAAACCAATTATTTTGGTTTACATGGTGGTTAATTATACAAACAATTCGACAAAGAACAGAACGCTTATATCATAATTTAGAGAGGTTTAGACTACATTGCCACTTGATTTTTGGAAATGTTTCTGACATGAGGAAATCTCATTAGTTTCTTGATCTGATAAAAGTCTCTTTTTTTTTTTATCTCAAACCAAAATGTCAAGTAGGTTTGTTGATACAAATAGATAAATGACAGACTGTTTATTGTCCAGGAACAAAACACACTGAATAAAATTGCATTTAGGGCTCTTAAAAAAAAAATCCAGTGTGTTTATCCAGTTTTAAAGTCAATAAGATCCATCCAATGAAAATTTGTTTGGAGATTCGTCAGCCGAATGAGAAATTCTATGAACATGCCAACCACAAAAAGAAGGCTGGTAAAAAATAACAGCAACAACATTGTGTCGACAGTGAACACAAATTCTAACCATCAAACCGGAGATACAGGTTTCCTCGTTTTATCGGTTTTAAATTGAAACTCATAACCCAATCCTATAATTGAATATGACGCTCAGTCTCAGATCTGATGCCACTGTAGGCCTTGAATACTGGCATGTTTTTGACTACATTTTTGTCTTTTCATTGATGTTGCATAAGGAGCTGCCATGATGGAAAAAAAATGTTCAGGAAATGTTGAACTTTGAATTTGACTACATTTTTCTTTTTTATTTGAGCTTCCCTCACTAACAACTCAGTGAAAAAGTCAAGACAAATTATATACTGAATATTTACAAGAGAACCATCGCATTTTGACATTAAAGAATTTAACATTCCCAACACACTGCTTCAGTGTTAACACCAATGCTCAACTACTTCTCGTGTTCAGCTACACAAAGCCTCTTTACTTTCCATTTCTTTGATGCATTTGTTGCTTAAAGTTGAAGGTTTTCATAGTTGTGTTTTACTTTATTGAATTGCAAAAAAAAGAGAGGAATAAAAGTGTTTTTTGGTGGTTATCTTACACATAATACACAGTTTAAATGATTGCATCCATGTTGTATCCACAAAACCATAGGCATTATATTTCAAGCTAAGTTTGTAGATGTAATTTGATTTTGAATATCTTTCACAGCCAATGCTTCTATAGTTCTTAGGGGGCCCTCAGAGG